GTTACATATTGGGAGTGATTGTGGCTTTCACTCCACTCAGTGGCCACGTGTCTTACCTTGGGAACAGGACAGGAGACAGAAAATCCTTTTCAGCCTCAGTTCCTAGGTGTTATTTATGGCACAAGCATTATAGTATTACTAGAGGCTCAGTGCATAAATTCATGCATGGAGAAGGAGGGTCCTTCTGAGGCCCCTTGGGGTTTGTATGACTGCTGCTTTAAGACTGCTGGCTCCTAACCACTCACCTGCCTGCTTTCTCCTAACCACTCTGCCTTCCAACCTAATAGCACCCTAACCCCTCCCCTGCTTGCCTAATTGATGCCTAACTGCTCCCCTGCTGGTATGATTTTTCCCAATTGCCTTCTCCTGTAGGGCTGAGGGGACTGGGGACTCAGGTTGGATGAGGTGGGGCAGAGGGGACTAGGGGACTGAGAAGGGATGAGGCTGGATGCTGCGGGGACTGGGTGAGGCAAGGCTGAGGGGACTGGAAGACTCCAATTGGATAAGGAGGAGATGAGGGGACTGGAGGACTGAAGCTGGATGAGGCAGGGCTGAGGAGACTGGGCACCGCCATCTTGTGGCTGTCGGAACTGCCATCTTGTGAGGGTGTGACAGTAAATTAGCATATTCCCTCTTTATTGACTAATTAACAGTCACATCTTGTGAGATTGTGACTGTTAATTAGTATATTCCCTCTTTTATTAGATAGGATGAGATTCTGGTGTTATTTAACCATTAAGCTAATGGATGATCCACCAGTTGAAGATAATCGTCCCTCTTTGTGTCAGCCCTTTATCTGCAATTCAAAAATCTAGAGAATTATGAAAAAGTAACAGGTTCTTTTTTCTAATTAGTTTGGTGAAAAAAACCTAACCTGGACTGTTGTTAACATTTTAAAAAATAGTGTTTATCCCATATAGTTTCTGATACCCTGATGATTATCAATGAAAGAAAGTCTTCTTGAATATTTTAACTTAGTTTTATAAAAGCTAATCCATAACTAATGGTTCTGGATGATGTTATATTTGAGCAATGCTGTTTAAAACTAACAATGCTTCTAATAAACATTTTCTACTTGATTATTTGTTTAAGCATAGGTAATTTTCCACAAACTATGCCCATGAAAAGTCACTTGATGTTTTTTGACCAGTTGTAGATAGTGGATGCTTGTAGATACCAGCAGTTTAAAGTAGCACACTGTGGAAAATGGTGGCCTAAAAGGACAGTACAAGGACCTCAATTTGGATATTAGTCTGGTTTGTACAACCCAACTGAATTTCTCAACTGGACTACATTATAAAATATAGACTAGAGGTCCTTCTAGTTACAAAGTTTAATGAATATCAAATTGATTTTCTGTTCAAAATAACATATCTTTGCTTGATATCAAGGGAATAAAATAATTACTAGAAGAAAGCATATATACAAACATCAAAACTAAAAATATATTTCTTGAATGTGTTTTTAATTGCATCTGTTTCAGTGGATAAGTCCTATTATAGAAGGATAGTGTGGAGAGTAAGAGAAAATACCCAGAGAGACATGGCTTGATGTAGGAAGAGAAAATGAAGAACAGTGATAAAATTTAATAAATATTTGATGAATCACATCAAACCCTCTATGTCAGGAGGGAACCAAACTTGTCTTTGTTGAAAATCCCATGACACCACACCAAAATTTTCCCTGGCAAGTAAAGCTGGTATCTGTAGTCACCCACATTCGACTGCTTCTTTCCAGAATGGTTATACTGAGATTTGCTTAATCAGGGTAGCTATTGTTACTGGGGAATCTATGGCTGTGATAAAAAAGTAATTAAGCCACAAACAAAGGCTGATTTTTATTCGTTGGCTACATCCTAGGATTTGGAAACAATGTCAAAACAATAATGTGATGTTTGGAAGCACTTTTGCTTTGACCTGGGTTATCATTCATAGGTTGTGCACAAAGCTATTTTTACGAGTAGTTAAACATTTGGCAATTGCTGATCAGTAACAATGCACTGGAGGTCCTCTGAGACCATCCTGGTTCAGCGCACAAAACTTTGGTTAAACTAAAATGTAAAAATATTTGTACTTAAATGTATCTATTTTGCAATAGATTGGCCTTGTGAATTTATTTTCATTCTTCAGCATTTGACATATTTGTGAATAGGTATCTACACTGTATATTGGTTTATCAACCACAACCATGGATGGGACGGGCCACATGGGATGTTGCCCAGAAATTTGGAGAAACTCTCTCTTCTTCCAGAATCCTGTGCTCTCCAGTGTCTGTTAGTTTACGTTTCATGATAATAACTGTGGAAAACATAGCCAGTATAAACAAGAACTATCCCTTAGGTACATTTAAAGAATCTTAAATGACTTAAAAAAGAAAAAAAAGAAAAAAAATACCCCCCAATAAACCATACCATTGGTTTCACAGTGATTCCTTTATCAGTTTTTAGGAGAAAATGATGGACAGGGAGGCGAATTTAGGAAATCTAACTCTGCACCACACATTGGTGCTTTCTAATCATGTTGGGAAAGTCATTAGAGCAGTGCTCCAAAGAGGACACACGGGAATTTATCCTAGGTATTTCTGTAAAGTGTAAATATTCCTAATGACACAAACATATGTCACTTTTACAACCATCTCTACATGCAGCATGGATAGGAGCCCTGAAGGGAGCATTTAAGGAGAAGAAGAGTTGGAAAAGTAAAATGCTTCAGTTGACCTGTCTAAGAGGAATCAAAAGTGAGGACTGGACCTCTAGATTATGTTTCTTTCATCCCTGACATTTACGTCAGGTCTTCTAGGACGCAGGACACCTCAGATGCATTATGGACCCTTGAGAAATGGCTGCTAAACACATCCAGATCCACAGAGCTACAGCATAGACTGCTCTGGCTCTTCTCTTCCAGGGAATTCCAAATCCCATCGGACTCATTATTTCTATAGACAATGGAGTGAGGTACATATTCATACCTACTTTGTGATTTTATTTTTTTTATTTTTTATTAAATTATTATCTGTGTACATATTTTAACATTGCCCCCACAATACATACCCTTCCTCCCCAGAGTTTTGTGTCCATTGGTTGTACTTATATGCATGTATACAAGTCCTTCAATCGATCTCTTATCTCCCCCAGATCTCCCTACCCTCACCACTGTAATTTGATAGTCTGCTTGTTGCTTTATTGTCTCTATATCTATCTGTTGGTTCATCAGTTTCTAATGTTCTTTATTATCCATAAATGAGTGAGGTCAATGTTTCTCTTTCATTAACTGGCTTATTTCACTCAGCATGATGTTCTCCAATTCTATCCAGGTTGCTGCAAATGATGAGAATTCCTTCTTTTTTATGACAGCATAGTATTCCACTGTGTAGATGTACCATAGTGTTTTGATCCAATCATCTGCTGACGAGCACAGACTAGTGCAACCACTGTGGAGAACAGTATGAAGTGTCCTAAAAAAAAACCCTGAAAATGGAACTACCATTTGACCCAGTAATCCCACTCCTAGGAATATATACCAAGAAAATACTTTGAGATTTTCATGTTTACTTTTAATACCTGTGTTGGCTTTATGTGTTTGGCAAGTTTCTCATGGTAGCCAGAGGAAATACATGGGTAAGTTGGTCAAGAAATGTGTGACAGAGAGGGTATATTGGTATGAAGTAGAACTCCCTGACTCTCCTAAAGTCCCAAAGCTTGCCAGAAAACGCAATAACGTACTTTTGGATTCTGTCTCTGGAAGGAAAAAAAGAAATATGAAGAAAAAGAAAACACGTGTGTGTGTGTGTGTGTGTATGTCTGTGTGTGCCATTGCATGCCTGTATTTACTTGAGTGTGTGTGTGTCGGGTGTGTGTGTGTGCATGCATGCTCTCATCTATGCCTGTATTTGTGTGTATGTGTGCTGTGGGGGTCATTTTGGCCTTTGGGAGGAGATGCAGAGTGGAGGACAGCATCCCTTGGGCACTAGAGCGGCACAGTGGAGTGGGGCTTAGATGCTTTGGCGGGAACTGGGTGTTTCTGAGGCCAAACGGACTGCCCCCGCCCCGTGGCCATCATGGGAGGAGTTGTGTTCTGAATGGCGATGACCTTTTGGAAGGAAATCTTGGGCTGTGTCATGAAGAGTTGTGTGGTGCCCTACACGCACAAGTAAACTGGAGTAGGTGTGCTCCTCCCCAACCCCCTCCACGCTCTCGCGCGCTCCCCCCCCCCCCCGCCCCCATGTCCCCCTTAGTCTCCCCTTAAGCCTGTTTAGTTTCTGTGAACAACAACCTCTGCCTCTCTGGGCTTGACTGGGATGCTCAGGTTCAAGGGATTCTGGGGAAAAGAGCCAAACCAATGGATCGTCCTGCAAGGGCTGGGCATCCGTTGGGGAGCCCCTGGAAACGCTCGCCTAGGGCAAGTGTGGGACCCCGCACAGGTGAGCAAAGAGTGGTGGCCGCGGGCCCGCAGGTGGTTGTGGCGGTTGGACTTGGTGTCTGGCCTCACCGGAGGCCTGGAGACTGTGGGAAAGAGCACTCGGTGACGCAAAGCACGCCGGGAAGTAAAAGAAACATAGGCATTTGGCAGACAAAACGGGTTTGTAGATTTTATCTTTATTTTTGCAAGCCAGAAACAATTTAGTGATGGCCGAAATAGATAAATTGATAGATAGATAGATAGATAGATAGATAGATAGATAGATAGATAGATAAAAATATAAGCAACAGCCACAGGGGTTTCAGGAGAGGGTTCCCAAGCACAGAGGTCCACGCTCCTCCTCCCGCCGCTCTGCAGGAGTCCTTCAGGGAGGAGGTGAGCCCTGAGAAGGTTCTGGTGTTTCACCTCCCCAGGAGCACAGGGGAGAAAGAAGCCGCCAGAGTGCCAGTCACCTGTAGCTCCTGGGCTTTGGGGAGAAGGCGGGTGACCCGTCCATGGCGAAAAGTCCTTGCTTCCGCAGAGGGAGGGACGCAGACGCCGGAGGGGCTGCAGCGCCCCGAGTCCCGGCCCCTGGCATGAGGCCTAGGGGAGCAAGGCGCTTCTGGGCCGGACCCGGGGCACCTTGCCCTTGGCGCTCAGCCTGCGCACGGCTTCCCTGAGATGCTTGGGCTGCAGGGGGGGCTTCTCCCCCCAGCTGTGGCACACGTCCAGGGCCTCTTCCACCACCTCGCCAACAAAGACCTTGGCCATGCCGGCCATGGCGATGAGCGCGTTCTGTTCCACGGGGGCGCCGCCCGCGGCGCTCTGGATCACCCGCTTCACGGCCGCCCTGGGGAAGGCGGAGCGGCGGTACACCTCATAGCGGGTCAGCTGCTCCTGGGAGAAATTCGACAGCAGGAGCCGCATCTTCAGGGCCTCCCCCTCGGGGTCCCCTTCGGGCACGCTCTCCTTGTCCTTGTGCTCCTTGGCAGCGGGTCCCTTGCGCCTGGGCTTGAGGGCTGCGGGCGCAGAAGACTGGCGATCTCTGCTAGCACCTGCCTGGAGGTCGGAGACGTCGTCTTGAGCACGTGTGCTGGGGCCTCGGCCTTGGCCTGGGCCCTGGGGTTCCGAGGCTTGCTTCGCTTCCTGGGGTCGCTGGCCCCGGAGGGCGTCGGTGTCGCTGGACTCCGGGCCCGCGGGGGCCGCCGAGGGCTGCCTGTGGCTCGCACGCGTGGAGTCGCCACTGGGCTCCCTGGGACGCTTTCTGGCCTTCTCCATGCCAGCGCGCGCGCGGGCAACCTCTGGGCCCGGGGGTGCCATGCGATGCCTGGTCAGGGACCTGCCCAGGGAATGAATGGCGAGAAGAGAAGCGTCAGGGTCAGGGTCAGGCCCGCGGCTGGTTTAATACCACTTTTTCACCACTACACCCCAAATCCCCTGTGCTCTCGCCTCTACCACCCCCACCCCCTGATCAAACCCTCCCCCAACCCCCACCCCCGCCACACACACACACACACACCCTCAGTCAACCCTCGGACCCACCTGTGACCTGCAGCGGGTCAGAAATCTCAGACTCTCAGAATTCTGCCTCTGGGTGCTTCCTTCAGCAAGGGCTCAGTGGAGAAACAGCCCTGATCTGGAGCTCTGCTCAGCTCTGGGGTCTGGGCAAGTGTGAGCTTTGGGGTGGCTGAGATGCGATGCCTGGTCAGGGACCTGCCAAGGGAATGAATGGCGAGAAGAGAAGCGTCAGGGTCAGGCCGGCGGCAGGTTTAATGCCACTTTTTCACTCCCCCGCCCCCTCCCCCCCCCCCCCCCCCCCCCCCGTCCGCTCCCAAATCCCCAGTCCTCCGGCCTCTACCTCGCCCCCCCACCCCTCAACCCCCTCACACACACACACCCTTGGCCAACCCCCGACCCACCTGTGACCTGGAGCAGGCGAGAAATCTCAGAAATCTGCCTCTGGGTGCTTGGTTTAGCAAGGGCCCAGCGGAGAAGCAGCCCGGATCTGGAGCTCTGCTCAGCTCTGGGGTCTGGGCAAGAGTGAGCTTTGGGGTGGCAGCTGGCGCCTTTATATAGGGCGAAATCCCGCCCACTTGGGAATTCCCGCGGAGGCGTGGCCCCAGGCCCAATCAGCGGGGCGGGGCCTGATGTGATAGGGAGAGCCTGTGGGCGGGGCCTGCCACCGCCCAGGAGGAGGAGGAGGGGCCACAGGGCGGGTCCCTGACCCTGGAACCCAGCCCCCCTGTCCATAGGTAGGGTTCCTGGAGGGCGTGCATTGAAGGACAAGAAGAGTTGGGAAAGTAGAGGTAGGTTGTTGACCCTTCTGAAGAGGAATCCCCAAGTGAGGCCTGGACCTCTCCGTTCTGTTTCTCTCCTCCCTGTGGTTCAGGGCATGTGTTCTAGGACTGGGGACGCCTAGCTTGCGTGTGCGTGTATGTGCGTGTGCGTGTGCGTGTGCGTGTGTGTGTGTGTGTGTGTGTGTGTGTGTATGCGCGCGCGAGAGAGCCCTTGCATCTATGTGTGTATGTGTGCCGTGGGGGTCATTTCGGCCTTTGGGAGGTGATGCAGAGTGGAGGACAGCATCCCTTGGGCACTAGAGCGGCACAGTGGAGTGGGGCTTAGATGCTTTGGCGGGAACTGGGTGTTTCTGAGGCCAAATGGACTGCCCCCGCCCCGTGGCCATCATGGGAGGAGTTGTGTTCTGAATGGCGATGACCTTTTGGAAGGAAATCTTGGGCTGTGTCATGAAGAGTTGTGTGGTGCCCTACACGCACAAGTAAACTGGAGTAGGTGTGATCCTCCCCAACCCCCTCCACACTCTCGCGCGCTCTCCCCCCCCCCCCCCCATGTCCCCCTTAGTCTCCCCTTAAGCCTGTTTAGTTTCTGTGAACAACAACCTCTGCCTCTCTGGGCTTGACTGGGATGCTGAGGTTCAAGGGATTCTGGGGAAAAGAGCCAAACCAATGGATCGTCCTGCAAGGGCTGGGCATCCGTTGGGGAGCCCCTGGAAACGCTCGCCTAGGGCAAGTGTGGGACCCCGCACAGGTGAGCAAAGAGTGGTGGCCGCGGGCCCGCAGGTGGTTGTGGCGGTTGGACTTGGTGTCTGGCCTCACCGGAGGCCTGGAGACTGTGGGAAAGAGCTCTCGGTGACGCAAAGCACGCCGGGAAGTAAAAGAAACATAGGCATCTCGCAGACAAAACGGGTTTGTAGATTTTATCTTTATTTTTGCAAGCCAGAAACAATTTAGTGATGGCCGAAATAGATAAATTGATAGATAGATAGATAGATAGATAGGTAGATAGATAGATAGATAGATAGATAGATAGATAGATAGATAGATAGATAGATAAAAATATAAGCAACAGCCACAGGGGCTTCAGGAGAGGGTTCCCAAGCACAGAGGTCCACGCTCCTCCTCCCGCCGCTCTGCAGGAGTCCTTCAGGGAGGAGGTGAGCCCTGAGAAGGTTCTGGTGTTTCACCTCCCCAGGAGCACAGGGGAGAAAGAAGCCGCCAGAGTGCCAGTCACCTGTAGCTCCTGGGCTTTGGGGAGAAGGCGGTCTGTCCATGGTGAAAGTCCTTCCTTCCGCGGAGGTAAGGACACAGATGCAGGAAGGGCTGCAGCACCCAGAGTCCAGGCCCCTGGCATGAGGCCTAGGGGAGCAAGCCGCTTCTGCGGGGGACGCGGGGCACCTTGCCCTTGGAGCTCAGCCTTTGCAATGCCTCCCTGATATGCTTGGGCTTATGGGGGGGCTTCCACTTCTCTTGAACTAGTCCAGGGCGTCTTTCACCACCTCGCTGATGTCGACCTTGGCCATGCTGGCCATGGTGATAAGAGATGATGACCTTTTGGAAGGGAATCTTGGCCTGTATTATGAAGATTTGTGTGGTGATCTACATGCACAAGTAAATCTGGAGTTGGTATGCTCTCTTTCTCCCCTCTCCCAAGTCCATCCATAAACCTCCTTAGTTTCTGTGAATAACAATGTCTTTCTTGTCTGTGCTTTTTTGGTTGTTGAAGTTCAAGAGAATCTGTGTAAAATGGCCAAACCAATGGATAACCCTACAAGGGTTGGACATCAATTAGGGAGCCCCTGGAAATGCTTACACTCCTATCAGACCTTTAGGTGTGGGACCCCCGCACATACGAATAAGTTGTCACACGCCTGTCCCCCAAGTGTTTCTGGTGAATCGTTTTGGATATGGATTTGGTCTCTAGGTTCCATGGAGAATCATTCCTGCTCTGGAGCATTGCTCTGCTCTGCTTTGCTGGGCAATCTTTGATATGTGTACTTTTGGATTGTCAATGGCACTTATTAATGGCAGAACCACACTCAGTTGGAAATTCCCTTGAGTTTCTGGGTGGGGTCATGTGGGAGCAGTTTGTGCCTGGGGATTTGACCTGAGATATGCAAGAGGCAGAGGGGACACCGGACCAGTATTCATGGGTAGACAGAAGGTCTTACTCCCAGAGCCTGTGCTATCCAGTGTCTTCAAGCTTACATTTCTTCATTATAACCATGGGAAACATAGGCAATACAAATAAGTCCTATCTCCATAGCTGTATTTACAGAAACTTAAATGAATGTGAAAAGGAAAGGAGAACAAACCAACAGGAATTGTAGTCACCAAACCATTGTGTCACAGCAATTCCTTTATAGGGTTTTAGTTGAACAGGCTGGGCTAGTTGGCAAATTCAGCAAGCCTAAATTTGTCCCTTTCATTCTAACTTTTCCATCGTCTTGAGGTCTCCTGAAGAGGCAATGTTGAATTCTTTGGCTAGTCTTTGTGGATAGTGTATGTTTTCTAATGACTGAAACTTCTGTCATCTTGTGCCTTCTCTTGATCTGCATTATGGATATGGGACCTGGAGGGATTTCTCTTTGTTTTGCCCTGGAGGGGGTGCCTTGAATTCTGGAGTACATATGTCTCCCTTTTTCTCCATTGACCTCTCCCTGGCCTCCTTTACTTCCGGCACATGCCCTTACCCCACACCCCAGTATTTCTTACTTTTTAAAGCTAAGATGGTTCAAACACCATATTAATAACATCAAGATAATATCTTAGATTCCTGGTTAATTGGCACAGAAATATTACATTTTTAAATCTTGGATTATATGAATAACTTAGATCACTTATCAAATATGTGTCACTTATCACAAAGGACAGTTGAAAAAAGTACACAGGTGTTTCAGAGAAAAAAAATCTATCATTACTGAACAACAACTTTTAATTAACTTCTTCAAATACAGAATTGCAGAAAGTAAATGAATCTCAGACATTTTAGAGCTTAGTGGTTTTTGATAAATGTTTTCAATGGAATAATTCTTTGTTCAAATGTTCCCTTGGATGCCTAATATATAAAACAGAGAATTGTACTGGCTGATGAGAGAGTAAATGCGGGGAGGGAGGTCTGTAACCAAGAGCTTGACATCTTCTATGTCTTTGTTTTCCCCTATCTTCCAGGCTTTCCTCTTCCACCAAATTGCCCTCTGAAATAATTTAAAAAATGTGAGACCTGGAGTTCTGCAGAGCACCATTGTTAAAACACAGATCTAGCCAGGTGTTCTCATTTTAGAAATTAGAAAATGGTAATTGTCTGAGATTATTCAGTAAGGCAATGGCAAACCTGGAACTAAAACGGAGGTAGCAGAATTCTTTCTATATAGTATAATTCAATAATTCACATTTATTTATCTCCCACACAAAGGCCTGAGTTAAGTATTTCAGATGGGGAGAAGCTGTGCTCCACAAGATTAGTTTATCAGGGGTCCAGATTTGTTCCAATTACATTATTCCATCTTCCCTTGGGCAATGTCATCATCTCCATGGGGGAAATTGGCTTCATTGGATTCCAGGTGGGAGACGAAGGAGAAGAGAGTGGGGACAAAACATGTCCATGAAATTAAAGCCTATCCCTGGAAATAGAACTTATTAAATAGATGGCCACACTTTTAACTATGGGGCAGCCACATGAAGAGAAGAAATGAGGAAAGATTTTGAAGGGCAAGTGGGAGGAGTCTTTGTCATGGGACTCTGTTGATTCCTAAAAATCAACAGAAATATTATCATCAGATCTAATAATGAAATTATCTTTAGAAATCTTCAAATTATTTTATAAATTTTTATCACTGGAGCCTCATGAGAAACCATCTAAGTTGAAAGGGCAGGTATATCCCTGCCCACCTCAAAAGTGAGTTGTGGTCTTTAGGAAGTGCAAAAATAACAGACTTTTGAGAAAATATTTCATGACAGGTCAGTATTCCTGCTGGCATGTTT